ACAATATTTTGACAATGCATAATCCCAAAGCTCCTTCAATTTTTACAATATTCCCAGAGTTTCCCAAACAGGTGAACACCAAATTCAAGAATACAACAATACTTATAATTCAGGCTACAGGCTCAACTTAATTTTTCCATTGGGTTACTTCCTCTTACATTTGAATAAATTACATGCCTGGAGAACTTGATCAGTAGGACAGTTGCCTGGAAATGCACAATCCTGCAATGTTACAGAGTCATAGAAACATAGAGCTGTACAGCATGGAAACAGACCCTGCAGTCCAACTCATCCATGCTGACCAGATATCTTAAATAAATCTAGTCCTGTTTGCCAGCATTTTGGCCTGTATTCCTCTAAATCCTTCCTATTCATGTACCCATACAGATGCCTTTTAAATGTTGTAATTGTACCAGACTCCACCACTTTCTCTGGCAGCTACTTCCATATATGCATCACCCTCTGCGTGAAAAAGTTTCCCCTTAGGTCCCTTTTATATCTTTCCTCTCTCATGTTAAACCTATGCCCTCTAGTTTTGGACTCTCCCACCCTGGGGAAAAGACTTTGGCTATTCACTAATCCATGCCCCTCATGAATTTATAAACCTCTATAAGGTCACCCCTCAGCCACCAGCACTCCAGGGAAAATAACCCCAGCCTATTCAGCCTCTCCCTATAGTTTAAACACTCCAACACTGGCATCATCCTTGTAAATCTTTACTAAACCCTTTCAAGTTTCACAACATCTTTCCGATAGCAGAGATTGCACGCGGTACTCCAAAAGTGGCATAACCAATGTCCCGTACAGCTGCAACATGACTTTCCAATACTTGTACTTAATGCACTGACCAATAAAGGCAAGTATACCAAACATCGTCTTCACTATACTGTCTACCAGGGACTCCCCTTTCAAGGATCGATGAACATGCACTCCAAGGTCTCTTTGTTCAGCAACACTTTCCAGGACCATACCATTAAGTGTATAAGTCCTGCCCTGATTTGCCTTTCCAAAATGCAGTACCTCACATTTATCTAAACTACACACCATCTGCCACTCCTCAGCCCTTTGGCCCATCTGATCAAGGTCTTGTTGTACTTTGAGGTAACTTGCTTCATTGTCTACTGCACCTCCAATTTTGGTGTTATCTGCAAGCTTACTAATTTGTACCTCCTATGTTCACATCCAAATCTTTCATATAAATGACAAAAAGCAGTGGAACCAGCACCAATTCTTGTGGCACACCACTGGTCACAGCCCTCCAGTCTGAAAAGCAACCCTCCACCACCACCTTCTGACATCTACCTCCAAACCAGTTCTGTTTTCAAATGGCTAGTTCTTCCTGTATTCCATGTGCTCTAACCTTGCTAACCAGTCTACCATGAGGAACCTTGTTGAACATCTTACTGAAGTCTATATAGGTCATGTCCACCACTCTACTCTCATCAATCCTCTTTGATACTAGTTCAAAAACTCAATCAAGTTCATGAGACACAATTTCCTACACGCAAAGCCATGTTGGCTATTCCTAATCAGTCCTTGCCTTTCCAAATACATGTAAATCCTGTCCCTCAGGATTCCTCCAACCACATGCCCATCACTGATGTCAGGCTCACCGGTCTATAGTTCCATGACTTTTCCTTACCATCTACCTTAAATAGTGGCACCACATTAGCCAACCTCCAGTCTTCCGGCACCTCATCTGTGATTATCGATGATACAAATATTTCAGCAAGGGACTAACAATGACTTCCCTAGCTTCCCACAGAGTTCGATGGTACACCTGATCAGGTCCCAGGGATTTATCCACCTTTATGCATTTTAGGACATCCAGTACCACCTCCCCTGTAATGTGGACATTTTTGAAAATGTTGCTATTTATTTCCCCATGTTCACTATCTAACAAACCTTTCTCCACAGTAAATACTGATGCAAAATACTCGTTTAGTATCTCCCCCATCTCCTGCGGTTCCACACATGGGTGACCTTGCTGATCTTTACGGGGTCCTATTCTCTCCCTTGTTACTCTTTATCCTTCATATATTTGTAGAATTATTTTGGATTCTCCTTAACCCTGTTTGCCAAAGCTATCTCATGTCCCTGTTTTGCCCTCCTGATTTCCCTCTTAAGTATACTCCTACGGCTTTTATACTCTTCTAGGGGTTCACTAGATCTCTGCTGTCTATACCTGATATATGCTTCCTTCTTTTTCTTGACCGAAGCCTCAAATTCTTTAGTCATCCAGCATTCCCTATACCTATCAGCCTTGCCCTTCACCTTAACAGAACATACTGTCTCTGGACTCTTGTTGCTCCATTTTTGAAGACTTCCCATTTTCCAGCCATCCCTTTACCTGAGAACACCACTCCCCCCAACCCCACAACCAACGTTTGAAAGTTCTTGTCTAATATTGTCAAAATTGGCCTTTCTTCAATTCAGAACTTTAACTTTTAGATCCAGTCTATCCTGTTCCATCACTATTTTAAAACTAATAGAATTATGGTCACTGGCCCCAAAGTGCTCCCCCACTGACACCTCTATCACCTGCCCTGCCTTATTTCCCAAGAGTAGGTCAAGTTTTGCATCTTCTCTAATAGGTACATCCACATACTGAATTAGAAAATTTTCTTGCACACACTTAACAAATTCCTCTCCATCCAAGCCCTTAACACTATAGCAATCCCAGTGTATGTTTGGAAAGCTAAAATCCCCTACCATAACCACCCTATTGTTCTCTGATAACTGAGATCTCCTTACAAATTTGTTTCTCAATTTCCCGCTGACTACTGGGGGTGTCTGTAGTACAATCATCTCTTTCTTATTTCTCAGTTACACTCAAATAACTTCCCTGGACATATTCCAGGAATATTCTTCCGACATACAGCCATAATGCTATCCCTAATCAAAAACGCCACACCCCTCCTCTCTTGCCCCCTGTCGACCCTTCCTGTATATTCTGGAACACTAAGCTCCGAGTCCTGTCCATCCCTGAACCACATCTCTGTAATTGCTATGATATCCCAGTGCCATGTTCCCAATCATGCTCTGAGTTCATCTGCCTTAACTGTTGGGCTCTTGCATTGAAATAAGTGTAATTTTATCTCTCAGTCCTACCTTGTTCTCTGTTCCTGCCTGCCCTGCCTATTTGACTCGCTCCTTTTCCCAACTGCACCAGTCTCAGACTGATCTCTTTTGTCACTGTCTCCTTGGTTCTCCACTGTGCAGCACCAACCCATGCACCCACGCATGTTAGTTTAAATCCTCCCGAGCAGCTCTAGCAAATCTCCTCGCTAATATGTTAGTCCCCTTCCAAATCAGGTGAAATCCATCCTTCTTATACAGGTCACTTCTACCCCGTAAGAGATTCCAATGATCCAAAAATGTGAATTTCTCACAGAACTTTTAATGAGAAAAAGGCAAAATAATGTATTATTTTTCCACGCTAGTACAGCAAAGACATGTGGACACATTGCTCCTTTAATCCACTATCAACAACATAAAAGCCAATGAGGAATTCTCCTTAGTACATGTTGACTATCAAATGAACTGAGTGCTTCTATATTCTACAAAGAACACCACACTGTCAACAGAGCCTCATAAAAATAGACATTAAAGCACAATTTGGGTTATAGATCACATAAACTCTAAGGAATGGTTTCTGTTGGTAAAATTTGATGTGAATTATTTTACATCTGTATTTTAGAAAATATGCGGTACCTTAAATGTTAATATTTTTTGCAGTTCCTTTGCCACACTGATAGTCACCTTCCTGCCTAGCTGGCACTCACTGGCTTTCCTTCATTAATATTTCTCAAATGTGAGCCTGCTTAATGATGCTGTCAGCTCCTATGCTAATGGAAAGTAATGCAGCCCAGTATCCCAATACGTACTACAACCATTGTCTGAGGAGACATTGAGTGTGCTGTCTGCTAGAGGATCATTAGCCTGTGGGTTCCTGAGTTTGAATTATACATATAAAATGTTAATTTCCATTTAAAGCCAATCTGGTGCCAAGACTCTAAATGCATTTTAATGCAAATGACGGTATCAAGGTCATTCTTTAGCAATACTAATATCCATATTGCATTAAAAAGAGAATGCAGCTCTTAGCTTTCTTTTGCTTCAGGTTTTTAAGAGCTGAAAGAGACTGGTGTTAATGAAAGGAAACTGTATCAGTGATTAAATGATGTACGTGAGATATGGATAAGAAAAAGTGAAAATAGTAATGTACTGCATTAGTATTGTTCAGTTATTATTTTCTCACTAGATGCTTGTCTGACACCAATGGAAACTCTTTTTCATGTGCAAGAGCTTCCAGATCAAATTATTGATACATGTAAAGAAAAGACCATTTCTTCTGACCTTACATGAAATGCACAGCCTTTCCCCTTATACTTGTACTCCTCAGTACAGCAAGACAATGATATTACGGTTTATTTACTTATAATGAAACACTCACCATTGTATTAAGCATCTCTAGCTGGGATCGTGCTGCTTGTTTGTACGTTAATTTGTGGAGATATCTGGAGATGAGTGGAAAGAATTCCAGCTCCAAATTGTAATTTTATCTATTCAGGTTCTGTGAATGAGCAGGTTCCCTCTGAAAGCAATTCGTTTTCTTCTGGAGTACTGCTTGTTTGGTTCAAGCATCTTCGATTTGGAGGATCAATTTTTGTCAGTAGACTTTGTTTGACCAAAGAAGAGCAGGTTGAGCTGTTGCATTGTGCTCAGGTAGCAGCTGCCCAGGGAGGTGGGTTCGTGGCCAGTCTGAGGGAGGAAGATTGGGTCGTGACAATCCCAAGAAAGGTCATAGAGGACAGAGGGAGCAAGCTGGATGATAAAGAGAAGGTCAGTCTCTACCAAAGACAACTGAAACATGACACAGAGGAGATCGATGGAGATTTGGGGCACGGCAATGGTAAAGTCGGGTCATTCAAATTTGGCAACAAGACCTTCGACTGTGTGAGGTAACAGTGTGCCTGCGACTTCCTGCCTGCATTACCACACAATTGGGCAGCCACTTTTGCTATGGATATTTAATTGGCTAGTAGCCATGTGATTCCACATGCCTAACCAACCTGCCTCCAAGCAGAAATCCCATTCACCTGCAATCCCACCATTGACAAAATCAAGACTTCACGATTGTGCCTCACTTGTTCCCTTTATCCACTCCTACAGATTAAATGGATAGTCTTCGTCTTTAAACAACTGACCAGTAGCTGTTTGAGCCCTCACTGGATAGATGATGTGTACACAAGAGATATGATGCTTGGTACAACTCAGTAGCCTCTTGAACACTCATGGACATATTACCCCATCAAATTGTGATTCAACAGCATTAACAGCCTTTTGGAAATGCAAGCACATGTTTGTACTTCTATGTAACAGCTGTGCTCCCTTGTAATGCTCAAACTCAAGCTATGTAATAGACAGAGATAGTAGGAACTGCAGATGCTGGAGAATCCGAGACAACAAGGTGCAGGGCTGGATGAACACAGCAGGCCAAGCAGCATCATAGGAGCAGAGAGGCTGACGGG